AGTCATAACTATCATATGTACAATGTTGTCATAATTTCAAATGGTCATTGAATGAGTAATCATTAAGCAAGGACTACCTATAATAGTTACAAAATAAATTCTAATGCTGACTGTTGTAAGTATAGTGGGAAGTTTCTGCTTTTTCAGAAGTGGGGTGGACAGGTTTAGTGAAAACAGTGCTTGGGTTATTCTGCTATAAAAGAACACAAAATCCAGTATTATTTGCAGGATCCATTTTTGGAGGGGCCCAAGTGCAGTTAATAGCTTTTTTAGTAGCAGAGGTTTGAAATGTCAGGGGGGCACATACCACACATGTTTTGCCCTATTAATTTTAAGAACACATTCTCAGGATTTCTTTTTATTAGTTTTCATAACTAAATATCAGCTCTTAAAGCTACTTGTTGTCGCTGACAATTCTTGTAGTTAAATGTACAGTATCACCTGTTCTGAGCGTGTGTGTGTGTATGTGTGTGTGTGTGTGTGTGTGTGTGTTTATCTTCTGCCCAACAAGTTTACTCCGCAAGTTGGAGAAGGCAATGCAATGGATTATATTTCTAAATCCCACCTCTTGTGAGTAGATGGTCATGGAAACTCTTCCCATTGTCAAATTGTCCTTCCCAATTAGCAATCATGCTGGCTAGAAAATCTCTGGGCAACATTTCCAGTGCATGCAACTAAGGCTTAAAGCTTCTGCAATATTCATTTCTAGAACTTTTTGTCTGCTGATTATAAAAAGTGAAGGATTATTTTGTCTTGCAAAATAAATAATTATGATGTCTCCAAACCTTGTAGCTCTGACAGCAGTCTTGGAATCATGACCTCTGGCTTTAACTGTCTGCTAAATATGGTTTATCATGAGGAATGAATTGCAAAACAGATGTAAAGGAAGAATAAATAATAAATGGAGTTAGTTGAAATCAGTGATCTTTTCTATTAAGAATTGGTGGGTTGAAAGGAAGACCATGATTGTTGTTGATCATCAAAAACAGAGAAATTTAAAGAGCAAAATGTAGGCTGATGCTGTAGGGAGAGAGATTATAGTGAACTTTTCTATTATGTAATTAAATTTCTTTGTTTACTAGTTCTGAATTCTCTTCTGAATATTATATAATGCTGTTTATTCAGAAATGGAATATGATAGTTATGTGTGTTTTTTTACTTGATGTATTCAAAGCATTTCTATGTTACTTTTCATTATGAACAGTCCTGAGCTATGCATTCAGTATCATGGGGTGTGAAATTTCAGAAGATTCAATTATTGAATCATATTGTTTACATTAAATTAGTGTAAAGAAAATAGCTGTTTGTCTGTTAGCAGTGGCTAAAATAGCTATGGTGTGTTCAAAGCTGTTGAATTAGCTTTATATAAATGAATTAGCTGCATATAATATATATATATAGTATATTAAACTGGTGTTCCTGAGGAGAAAGTTGTGCAGAATTTGTTCCCCTAAGTACTTGTAGTACTTAAGAAGTACCTGGCATAATGCATCTGCTTCAATAATTTAATATAAATATAAAGTGAAGCTGTGCTATTTTCGATATATCACTTTTAAAAATTAGTAAACACAAAATTAACTAAAAATTCAAGAAAAACGTTGGATTGATTTTGTAAGGTGCCAGAGGTTTCCCTGAGCCAATGAGATGCCAAAGAGAATGAGACTCGAGACCAAGTTTGCAAAAAATACCAGCTTTTATTTATGGCCATATCAAAAGCTGGGTGACAAAACTATATTCAAAACATACAAACAAAATGCATGTAAGGAACAGCCACACACTGTGAGCGTGGCTCTGAGTATTATATACATTTTACACAGATAGAAACAAAGTTTACCCAATCAGAGACAAAGGTTCATTACAGAGGTGGGTTGCTCCTGATTCGGCCCGGATTGGGTGAACCAGTAGTGATGGCGACGGGAGGATCTGCCCACCCGCCCGGATGCTTCTGTGCATGCACAGAAGTGTTGCGTGCATGAGTGAACCAGTAGTAAAAAAAATGGAAACCCACCACTCGTTCGTTACCAAGGTGGTCTTTAAAGCATTCTTTGTTCAGGCCCCTGTCTCTGTCCACCTTATCTATGGAACTTCCCTATTGCATTGTGTAGGGGCAGCTCTCCCTCCCCCTTGGCCAAGTTGTTTATTCGGCAGAATGCTTTTAGGATTTATGAGGCAGGAAAACTCCCTACTCTGGTTCCTTTATCTATGGGGCCTGATATTCCTGGGTAACAATTTCTTCTATATTTTCAAGAATGTGCCTAGCTTTGAAGCCAAAAATAGAAGCAAGATACAGCAGCGAGATAACAAACTTTGCACTAATGCCAACCAGTATTAAGGTTTCAATTTACTAAGCTAGAATTCGTTCCTAACTATTTCTGACAGTATAAAATAATATAAGCAGAAGCCAATAGCAAAGCTTAATTCCTAATAAATGATTTCTATCAGTATATCATATCAGAAACAAACAGCAAATATTGGTTTCATCAGTAACAATTATATAGCAACATAAGCAATTCATAATAAAAGCAAATAGCCAGTACTGATTCATATACTCCTTCATTTTAAATTAATTTTAATATCATCCATCATTAAATCAGGTTCCTGGGTGAAATAAAATGAACAGTTCTACCTCTATATGATAGATATGATACCATATGAATAAAACCAGCAAATAAAACCACAAAAACCATATAGAAGTGCTACCAATATTTTAATGGTTAAATAAACAATGCCTTAACCCAGTGTCTGAAAGCCAGCAATTGTGCAGTGTACAAATTGTTTGTAAAATACTTCTCATTTTACACCCACGTGGTGTCCTGCTGATAAGGGAATGTGAACAGATTGGTAATGGGAAGTGGTATTTCACTCTTTGCACCAAAAAACAACTACAGTCTAGGCATGTTAAAAAATGAATTTACAGCAGATCAAGTGAAATTGTTTTTTCTTTCTTTCTGTAGATGGATCTCTCCCATAAATTATCTAAGAGAGAGGTAAGAAACTCATTCATTAATGACCATAAGGTATATTCTGCTGGGTCAGGGAAAAGATCCACAAGTTGTCCTTGGCCTACAAAATTGAGCCCAAAATTTCCGCTGCTAAGCAAAGCAATTGTTAACTGTGAACTTTGCCTTTTAAGTGACTCTGGCTCTTCCCCTACTGACTTTTCTTGTTGGACGTTAGCCAGGAAGGTTACAAATGGTGATCATGTGATCCCTGGATACTGCAACTGCCATAAATACATGCCTGTTGCCGAATTCCCAAAATTTGATGATGTAACCATGGTTGTAAGTGTGAAAAACACACTTCTGAAAAGCCAGAAGTCCTTGTTTTTCAGTGCCGTTATAATTTTGAACCGTCACTAAATCATGCTGACCCTTTTTAGTTCACATTCTCCCAGCAGTTTCACTGGGTGAGCTCCTAGGGAAAACATTTGATCAGAATTATTTGCTCATTTAGAAAAGAAAGGCTGTACTATATTGGAATCTTGAGAGATAAGATCAGGTAGTTGGCCTGTGTGGTGCTTAGATCTGACCCACAGAGCCATGCTGGAAACAGCAAATGACCGGGCCACGGTGCCTCTGCCAGTGAAAACGGCCCCGTCTTCAGCTGCGATAGCCTCCTGCAGTCCTCTGCCAGTGAAAATGGAGTGGCCCTCCTGAGCTCCATTTTCACTGGCAGAGCCCTTGGGCCACCATAGGTGCCCCAACGCGAGAGATGTCGAATTGGCCATGCCCACCCTGGCCACGCCCACCCTGATGCAACCTTCAATTAAATTGAGTTTGACACCTCTGGTTTAGATGTTTAGATGTTCTGCACAAGCATCTCGTTCGACTATTGAAATGCAATATGAAGTCAACCAGTATTATTACAAAATTAGTCACAGATTGGTTCAATAAGCAGGCTCCCAGGAACAAATTGACAGGCTTAAATGAGAAAATGTGTAGCTAGCAAGTATTATAGGCGATCTGATCTCTCAGGCACTACCCTCCCATTCCTTTTTGCCTAATGACCTTGTACTGTATTTCTCCTCTCTGCGGTCCGCTGGAGATTTAGAAAGCATATCAGGTTGACTTGCTTCCTCCCTTTGGGAGTGGTAAACATAGAAAATGTATTTCCTCCTGTCTGTCTTTGGTGGGCTCAATCAGCACAGAAGGCAACAACACACACCACAATTGCATACTGTAGATGGAATTAAAAGCTTGAATACAATGGTCTCTTTTAATACATTCCTTCTTTTCAGCACAACTCATACCCACATCACTGATGAACACCATCTTCCCAACAAATGAAAGAAGGCAGGGTATCTTATTAGTAGTTCAATTAATGATCTAGTAATCAAGTAGCTACCAAAAGTTGTCTTGTAGCACCTCGATTCCAAAAAGATTTCCTATTGTGGAAAAGATAGTAAAAGAAGTAGCGGTCAAAAAGCGGCAAATTAAATAGTTAACGATAGAAGAGAGAACCTTTTCCAGTCTACCTATCCATCTTTGCACACTTCACATGCTTCTCCCTCCCTTCATTTCCTAACCTAAGTGTATTGGACTCTGGTCATCTACTTTTCATCCATCTTGCGACAGACTATTACTACAATTTAGAAGGCAAATTGAGGAGAAGTCTAGTTTTCCTTGAACGGCTCTTATATTTTTATCCATCAGGCGTACTTTGAATTTCTGCTGGACTTTGGCAAATCGTTTTAGTCCATCTAGCCTGCTGTTGCACTCCCACAGGCTCCTGCTTTTAGATGGGCCCTTTCATTTATATTCTTGTTTACTTATCTCCTTCCTTTCCTTCTTTTTTATAAATTTGTATTGCTTTTAAACTGTAAAAAGATATTTGCAAACTGTAAAATAGTTGGCAACCCTGCTAAGCCAAATTACTTGATTTGATTCTGATCTGTTTTTGATTTTTGTTTCATTATTGTTGCAGCTCACCCTGCTGTACGAAGAGGTCCTTTACACCATTCTCCATCGGGTGGGCCAAGTGGAACAGAATCATGTTACTGATACAGATGAGCTCTATGAATATGTGCAAAAGGTTGGGATAAAGAGCCAAATCCATCTATCTTATTATTCATCCCCAAGGCTTTGGGGCTACACTTAAGACTACATTCTTTTTTTTCTTTTTCAGTGTATGGTTTCTCTCTCTCTCTCTCTCTCTCTCCCCCCCCCCAAATGCTAATGGGACAAATAGTTACTTTCTGCAATATAGTAACTACGGGTATGTTGGTAGGCAGGATGCACCCTGCCACTGTTTTTCTCCCACACTGTCTTCCTCTCCCCACACCTCCCAGTCCCCACCCCCCACCCCACTCTGTCTTTGGCCTTTTTGCCAAAGGTCCTTCTGAAAAGAAACACATGTTCTGTTGTTGTTTTTACTTTAAAGGCTTTCCTATTTTATTGAAACCAAATTCTCACTCTGAAAATTTCTTTTCTAATATCCAAATCAGGCCTTCAGTATTGATCCTGGAGAGCATCAAATTATATTACAGAGGGTCAAAGAGCTAGAGGTAAGATCTAACTCCAATTTTCCATTCACTTGTAGGTTGTTATGATGGAATTGTTCTATTTATTTAGTTGCAAAAGGATTTCCAAGTATGCTCTGTTGTTTATATTCCAGATTAATCTGAAGATTTGTGTTGTTATTATTTTTTATAATTAGCCTTCCCATTTTAATGATGCTATTCTGTTCACCTGCTAGCTAGGTCCTTATGTTAAGATCTTCTTTTGTGTTTCAGAGGCCAGTTTTTTGTCTTAAAGCCACTGTGAAGCAAGCCAGAAATATTCTGGGTAAAGATGTCAGTGGTAAGCGCAAAAAACATACCACAGCTGATATGCAGAAATTTGGAGATCTGATAAGGAAGGGGGTGGGGGGGGGGAGAGAGAGAAATTGACTGACTTTCTAATTCCGCCCAGAACTAGGACTATAGCAAAATATTTGCAAATGGCAATTACGCAAATTATGCCTTTAAAACAACACTAATGAATATGAAATTCCATGTCTGGAGGAAGGAAGCTTTTCTACTTTTTACATTACCTTCTACAAATTGTTCCCACAAGGCAGCCAAATATTTTAGTGGAAGAGCATAAAAGAAAAGTTTACGGTTGAAAAGGTGGCTTATAGTCCTAATGTTAATCCTAAACAGCACTTTGATTGGATTGATACCCTTTAAACCTTGGCACAAGGTTGGCACACACTGTACAATTAAGCCAAACTTTTGGTGCCTGAAATATTGGTTCCACCACAAAACCGCGATGCCCTTATCTGCGCCGACATAAGTGCGGAGGCAAATCCGCGGCGTCCGAAGCGCTAAGAAAAAAACGACCCTACCGCCACGACAGCGCGGTGACAGAAGGGTGTTCTACATGCTTCGTTCTTTGCCTCCAAAGGTAGCCCTCCTCCTCCTCCAGCTGACAGCGGCAGCGGGCACGGGGCAAAGCGGGCTGCCCAGCAGCAGCAGCAGCCTGCGGGAAGGGTCCAGCACAGC